TTGGTGCTCCGTCGTCGGTCATTTGCATGAACCGACTAACATAGCCGACGGAGAATGCCAAGTCCGGCCGTGTGTGGGCGAGGTAGCGAAGGCTCCCACAAGACGCCGCAGATCTGCGTGGCGTCCACCTCCTCCGTCGTCTTTGTCGCGGCTCGACTTTAGCCTCTCCTCCATCGGAGTGAGAGGCGGGTTGCGATCGGTGAGCCCGGCTAGCTCAACGACAGCGCTTGGCGTGGTGGCGGTCCGTCAAGTGTGATTCCGGAGTCATTCGGTGCACCTCGATGCCCGGTAGGAGAGAGGCCCTAGGTCACTCATCCGGAAGGTGGCCTTCATCTCTTCCTTGAATGCCGCCACCTCCGCATCCTTGGTGCCGGTGATCACCAAGTCGTCGGCGAGATACCCACCACCAATGAGCGGTTCCTCCTCCGCGCCCACGCCGGTAGATGGTCGCCTCGTCGCGGGCTTTGCTCAAGCCCATCCCCTTTAGCGTGGAATCCAACTTGGCATTCCACGCCCTCGATCTGCCGCCAAGCCATAGAGGGCCTTGCGCAGCGGAGCACCTGCCCTCCTTGCCGGGGATCGCAAATCCGGCGGTGGTGCACGAGAGACCTCCTCCTTCAAGTCGCCGTTAAGAACGCCGACTTGGCGTCCATGTGATGAACACGCCAGCCCTCCCGGCAGCTAAGCGCAAGGAGGAGTCGACGGACTCCATCCGTGCCCACGGGAGCAAAGGCGTCGTCGAAATCGACCCCCTCCTGCTGCACGAAACCTCGTGCCACCAAGCGAGCCTTGTGCTTGACTATGGCACCGGCTTCATCCCTCTTCAGCTTGTACACCCACTTAAGGGTGATCGCGCGGTGACCACGAGGAAGGTCAACAAGCTCCCAGGTGCGGTTCTTCTCAACCGCATCCATCTCCAACTGCATCGCGGCGCGCCATGCCACGTGTCTCTCGGCCTCGTAACACGACCGAGGCTCGCCGTAAATCTACGCGCAAGGTGCAAGCGCGCCTCCGGTCGTGAGGCACCGGTCCCGCACCGGTGGTCACCGAGAAGGTTCTCCATCGTCTGCAGTACCGCAATGGCTGCCGCCGTCGTGGTATGCGCGTCGATGGCGCTCCTCGTCGTGAGAAGGCGGATAGCGAAGCTCAACCGGGCTGTGCTCGACACGAGCTGGAGTAGACGTGCCCGGAGAGGTGCCTGTCGATGCTGGAGTGCGTGGCGTTGCCGGCTGTGGTGGAGCCGGCGAAGAACTCATCGCAGCCGAGGTCCTGGCTGGAGAGCGTGGTGCTGTCGGAGTAGCAGGCGCCGGGGTCGGTGGAGGCTCGGGGACTGGGGTAGACGCGCTCGCCGAAGAAGAGCTGCCTACTCCCCCAGCTCCCTCGAAGTGGACGTACTCGACAGTGAAGTCGTCGTACGTCGGAGCCGAGCCATCGTCCACCGCCTTGTCCCACGCCCATCCTCGCCCTTCGTCGAACCTGGCGCCGCGCGCCGTCTTGCGCACGCGCGTGTGTCTTGGTCGAGGATGCGGTAGGCCTTCGAGCCCTCGCGTAGCCGATGAACACTCCCGAGTGCTCTGTCGTCGAGCTTGCCGATGTGGCCAAGCTCCTTGGCGAAGCGCGAGGCGTACCAAGACCCGCGGTGGGGAGACCGCCGGCTTGCGCCCATGCCAAGCCTCGTACGGCGTCCTGCCGTCGAGCGCCTTGGTAGGCGAGCGGTTGAGGATGTAGACGGCCGTCACCACCGCCTCTCCCCAGAAGACAGCCGGCATCCCCCTCTGCTTGAGGAGGGCCCGAGCCATCCCCACAACCGTCTGGTTGCGCCGCTCGACGACGCCGTTCTGCTGCGGGCTGTACGGCGCGGAGTAGTGGCGCTGAATGCCCTCGTCGGCCATGATCGACGACGCGAATTCGACCCGCCGTGAATTCGCCGCCGTTGTCGGTGCGCGCAAAGACGCGCGCAACTGCGGCCGCCTCCGCCTCGCATGGCGGACTGCAGCGCTGATGGCGTCGCGACCTCTCCCTTCTTTGCCGAGGACCATCACCCACATGTAGCGGGAGAGGTCGTCGATGAGCAGCAGGAAGTAGCGTCGTCCTCCCGGTGTGGCGGTGTCACCGGCCACACAAGTCCTCGTGCACAAGCTCGAGCCTCTCCTTGGCTCGAAAGCTAGCCCATTGTGGAAGGAGAGTCGCCTGCGCCGTCAACACGCAGACGCCGCAGAGCTGCTCCACATGGTCGAGGCACGGCAGGCCTCGCACCATCTCCGTGGCACCGAGCCGCTTGGGGCCTCAAAGTGAAGGTGCCCGAACGCTCGTGTTATCGCCACGCACGCCTCGTCGTCCGACGAGAGCGAACGAGACAGAGGGTTGTGCCACCTGCACGTTAAGGGCGTGAGAGTCGATTTGCGCTTACGGATGCCTTGGCAAGAAGGCGGCGACGACGATCCCAAATCCTCATGACTCCGTCCTCAACCACCACGCGCGAACCGTTCTCATCCGGTGTCCCAAGGCGATGATGGAGTTCCTCAACGCGGGGATGTAGTAGACTCCGGTGGCGGCTGTGCTCACCAGACACGATGGTGAAGATGACGGAGCCGACGCCTTGATCTCCACGCCGGAGACATCCCCAAACAGCGGAGCCTCGGACGCTAGAGTCAAGCTCGGTGAAGAACTCCCGTCGACCGGTCATGTGATGGGTGGCGCCCGGTGTCGAGCACCACCCGTCGATCTTGTCGTCGTTGCGGAGCCATTGCCGAGGAGGGCGTGTGCTTTTGGCTCGTCAAGGTGGAGGAGAGCCGCTACGGCCGGTGCCGCTGGAGGTAGCTCGATGCTGGCATGTGCCATGAACAAAGCCGGCTCCTCCTCCGCTTTGTCTGACGTGGGCACGGCAGCGTCGTGGTGTCGACGATCCTTGGCCCAATGGCCAAGGTGGCGCGATTGCGGCGGTGTGTAAATCTCGTGCGGCTTGTACTGCTTCGCTGGCGGCGCCACTGGCGCCTCGCTGGCATCACCCTCGGCACGTCCTCGCGCCCCGGCCTGGGCGTCTCTGCGCGGCTTGCCACGCTTGCGGCCGCCTGTCGCGGAAGAAGGCTCCCCCTTCCTCCGGTCACCTTGGCTGGCAAGCCACTGCTCCCGAGTGAGAAGGAGCTTCCCGCCAGTGGTGATGGGCCCCGAGAGGGACTGTGGCTCATCATTGTCGGCGACCTTGAGGCGACCTATCGCCTCCTCGATCGACATCGTGGAGAGATCCAGCAGAGACTCGATCGAGCGAGCCATCCGCTTGTACTTCTCGGGGGCCGCGGCGGAAGAGCTTTTCGAGAGCTCTCTCCTGTTTTGTAGGTGTCGTCGCCGAATCGCGCACCATCTTCGCAATAGAGTGTTGAGGCGGAGAGCAAAGTCATCAACGTCCTCACACGGCTTGAAGGCGGGTTCTCCCACTCCTTGCGAAGTGCTGTAGTGTGGACTTGCGGGCACGGTCGGCTGCCGCGATCGCGCCGCAGCGATGGCGTCCCAAGCTTCATTGGCAGCCCGCTGGTCGGTGGTAGCGAAGCGCATCTCGGCGAAGCTGCGGCGATGAGAGCATCCGGCGCCCGTCGATCTAGGTCGTAGTCGACGTCGCCGCACCGGACTGCCTCCCACATGTGCGCGCACTGGAGCTTTACCCTCATCACCGCAGCCCACTCGGCGTAGTTGGTCTTGGTGAGGTAGGCCACCCACCGCCGGGACCGACGCCCACGACAACGACTGGAGCCCGTGGTAACCACGGTACCGATCCGGGGAGAGAGCCACGCCGCGCGTGTGAAGGCCACGCTCTCCATCGACCCGTCGGTACCGATCCGGGAGAGAGAGCCACGCCGCTGTGAAGGCCGCGCTCTCCATCGACTTCGTCGCCACCGTTGCCGTCGGGCGCCTCCTCCGAGCGCGCCGCCGCGGCGCGCGCCTCCTCCAGAGCGCCACCGCGCGTCCGCCCTCCTGCTCTGGCCGCCGCCGCGGCGCGTGCAGGCGTGCGGCTGCCCAGAGCGCCACCGCTGCGCGCGCCTCCTCAGAACGCCGCCAGGCGTCCGCGCTGTCTGGCTGCCGCCACGCTGCCGGGCGGCGCTGCGGTTGCGCCTTCGCCGCGCCCGCGCTTCATTTGCCGCCCTCTCTAGCAGCTTCGAGGTCCGCGTCGGTGGTGTCGTCGAAATGAAATGGAGCTGCCCGATCTTTGCCTTGCAGAAACCTCGACCTCCGCTGCCGCGCGCGCCGCATTCACCGCCGCATGCATTGCTTCGCCTCGCTCTGGTTGCTTGCCGGCTCCGCCATTGCCGACCTCGGACCCTTTTGCCGCCCGCAATGGTCTCTGCCGCCGCTTCGCTTCGCGTTCCTCCTGCGGCAAGTTCGGCCTCTGCCGACGCCGCGTGCTCGAGGCGACCGAAGGCCGAGATCGCCTCGCGGACATGACGCGCTCTGGGGGGACTGCGCGTGGGAGAGGGCTGCCAGACGAATTGCTTTCGTCTGCTGGGGGAGTGGAGGAGAGGCGGCCGAGCTGCTACTGCACTGGGGCGTTGTGTGGTTGGGAGGGAGATGAGCGAGGAGATGCTCAGCTCTGAGGATAATCTGACTCGATACCACTTGTTAGTGTTGAATTCTCACTCTTGGTAGTAGGAGAATTCTTACTCTCATCGACAGAGGATGACACTAGGAGTTGGGGTAATTTTCTTGTCTATTTCTCACACAAGCTCACACAAATGCCATGCCAACTCGAGGGGTTGGAGTTACATATTTATAGTTGCTAGCCTGGCCCAAGCATATGCCAAGATGCTAGTCTAAGATGCTAGTCTAAGATGCTAATATGCTGTCCTAGCTAAGATGCTGTCCTCTAGTCTAAGATGCTGTCCTCTAAGATGCTGTCCTCTAGTCTAAGATGCTGTCCTAAAAGCAGAAAAACAGCCACAAGGACCATGTGAGCAGTACAGCCCCACAAAGACCACACATGAGACTTATCCATCACACAGTATTCATCATCAATCCCCTCCAGCATCCTTGACATCAACGGGGAACTCATACTCCTCATCGCAGCCCAAGTAAGAGTCTGACATCAAGTAAATCATGTAATCCTTTCTTACAGCCTCTGCAGGAGCGGAGAACTCAAGTTTCACTCTCGCCCTCTTCTGGAGTGCCACTCTTTTCATTGCCAGTAACTGGTTTGTGGAGCTGTCGCCAATCACCAGCCACCAGCCTTCTTCCTTAGGCTTGGGAAACCTTGGCGCATGAACTGGACCAACCTCAGATGACACGTTAGTCATGTCACGCTCCAGAATTACCTGCACGGTTACATTGTCACCAGCGGTTATATCATCACCCTCACGGACCTCATAGGTCATATCAACATTGGGGAACCGCTTGAAGAATTCAATGATGTCTTGCAGCTGAGAGTTTGACAGCTGTAAGAGATCCCGCATCTCATCGACACCCATCTCAGCAAGATCAAAGATACTCTCGATGGGCTTCCCTTCATTTTCCTGGCACCTCCGAGCCAAGTCCTTTGTAAAGTGTGGAACTTGAAGCAGCACAGAATCCCGATCCCACATGCCTTGTGTCACCATTTGACTCAGCTCCATTGCACTAAGAGCAAGACTAAGCCAACCATTGCTGGATATAACATCAACCATTGCCTGGAGCAACCTATGAGCAGAAAGGAGAATCTCGCGCTGATCAGCTGCCAGGTTCCCGACCACTGTGTGCCTTGAAAAATGGGCTTGCAGCAGAGCATTGGCTTTCACATGTGGATCACCATACTTGGGTTTCTCGATAGAGAACCTCTGGTGGCGAACGAGCCTCTCAATGAATTCTTCCTCACCAGGACGACCCGGAAGCTCTGCATATTCTGAAGCAGATGCTAGAATCTCTAGGAGTCCTTTCACCTTAGTCTTCTGGGTCAGCATAGAACTAAAACGCTCAATAGTTGTGTAGCTAATATAGTAGTATGAAGCAATAAGGCCAAGGTTGAGGGGCTTCAGGTACATGTCCTCCTCTATAGCCACACACTTGCTTGATTCAAGATCATTCAGGACAGTCTCGACTAGCTCAGAAAGATGATCTGAAAGATGCCTGTGACTTACACCCTGAAGATTGTAGAAGTTAGGATTCTTTGTCAACCGCCGATACATGAAAGTCCAAGTAAGATAATCCACAGCATCTTGCTTATTCTCTACAACACCAACCACCACCTCAGCATTCATGTGATCATGCAAGAAATGGTGAAGATTGCTCTCGACAGGAAGGCCTCAAAAGGAACTTCTTGTAGTACTCTTTGCGAGGTGCATGACACAATATAACACATTTCCCTGAGTTATCTTGAAGTGGTCTGCTGGCATGACCCATCATTTGAAGCAGATCTGTAATTGGATAATCGGTGTGAGCATTCTCCCGGCCATCATAATACTGAGTCCCCATGACAACAACCAAATGAGCAGGCAATGGTCTTCCCCAACACATTGTGCTGCTTGCAACACACACTTGGATCCTCCCACCAAGGAACAGCTGGGTTACAAGTTCCTGATCAAGCTCACTTAGACCCTCATGCAAATAGCCTACACCACATTTAAGTGTATTCTTAAGCGTCTCTTCTTCAACACCTCTGGTTAAAGTATCCATCTCATCTTCTGACCCAAGAAGAAATGGTGTTCCAGCACCCAAAACACTAGAGTACGCACACAAGTCCAATGCAGTTAACCTTGCATGCTTCCTTGTCGGTACATACACCAGGGCAGGTTTACTGTTCTTTGCATGCTGTGTGATGGCAGTGTAGGTAGGCTTTGTCAATGCTTGCATCCTTGCCTCAAAGTTTGCTATATCCACACCCTGGATATGAATTTCCAATGGCACAGGTCTCACTGCTGGAGGGAAGTTGAAAAGGCCATGAGAGGTGGCACCAATCCATTCACCGAGATCTTTAGCATTAGCAAGTGATGCTGAAAGTGCTACGATCCGTATGTTACTGCCTATATGACTGGAAATACGCCTCATCCTAGATACAATGACTTCCAAAACATGTCCCTTATCAGATCCAAGTAGATGAAGTTCATCAACTATGAATAAGCTGACCTGTTGGATGTGCTTTCGCTGTTTCCACCGGCGAGACAGTGCATCCCACTTTTCAGGAGTACTGATTATGATCTCACCTTTATCCAGAAGCTTCAAATCAGCTGCTGTTTCACCAGTGAGCTCAACTACCTTGGCAAACTCTCCAAATTTCCGCTCCCAGTCCCTGTATCTTTCTTTTGCAAGAGCTTCAATGGGAGCTATATAAACAACCCGCATGTTGCTCTCACCAGACACTTCCCTCTGGTGGTTCCTTAGTATAGCAAACTCCGCACATATCGTCTTCCCACTGCCAGCTGGCGCAGCGACCAACACACTGGCATCGCTGTTATACAAGACAGTGAATACTTGAGTTTGGATGGGATTGAAATGCTTAAAAGCACTATAAAGGCCCTCGTATCTTGCATTTCTCAATGCACTAACAGGTAGAGGCTGCAGATCAAGCAATTCAGTTGGTGGAGCATATTTTTCTGGTAGAATTAAGTGCCTAAAGCACACAGGGAGAATTGTCTGAGAACCAAGCCACTTGTCAGACACAACACGAATGAAATACTGAGGAGGCAGTGGCTCATATATCAGCACTGTGAAGTTCAATGTATGATCTTCATCAACATACTGTTTCTTAAGCATGAAATATTCATGGTGAAGAATGTACTCGCCATCATTATCCTCAACAATAACCCAAAAGGGCTCCACATATCCATGTACCTTATCATCCCACTGGAAATCAGGTGTAATTGTCAGCTCAAAACCCAAAACTGTACGAGTAATGGGCTGGACATGGGCTGAAAGATTCAGCTTTGGTAACTGGTGGATGCACTTGTGCAGCTGCCTCCCCATCTTGGGATAGCGGATCAGTTCACCAATTTCTTGTGAGGACAGATCGTAGTACCTCTCCCAAGCCAACTCCTTCTTCTCGAGTTTCATCAAGATCTCCTTTGGAATTCCAGTAAACTGCCGCAAGGGAGTTTGGACACTCCACATTTGTTTATCAACCATCTTGCAAAGATTCAGCGCTTTCTCCGCTAGTTGAGTCCATCCCCTCTTCAAAACAATCTCAAATAGTGCTCGTAAGAGACGGCCAGCACTCTGCATTACAGAAGGGGGGAAACATTAACTATACAATACAATATAAGCAAGAAACTCGGGTTCAGAAAGAGCAGTAAGTAGGTGAAACCATGCAAACGAATTATAAATTATAGTTGACACAGAAAAGATGGCGCTACCTGTCTGATGTAGACCATATCAGAACTAAGAGAAAGGCCTTCCAGTTTGAACCTAGAAATATATGCTTGCAGCAGAACATTGATCTTTGCACTGGGTTCCTCCAAGCTCTCTTTCACAGGTATTGGCACACGATCCAAAAGCTTTGCCAGTTCCATTTTCTCATCAAGCCTGACACCTACATACTTAAATTCTTCACTAAGAGAAAACAGTCGGCACAGTTTGATATCACCCATTGTAGGTTTTAGGTACTCATTGTATGTTGAAATAGTTCCATGACTGATATAGTAATAACTGGCAATCCTTCCCAGGTCAGTAACTTGAAAGTATCCTGTTTTCCTGTCATACTTTATCAGATTGTTCCTATCCAGTAGATTTGCAGCGGAATGTATCTGCAGCAGAACAAAAATACAAAAGATCAAGAACAGAACAGGCTAGTATGCTGTAACATCAACAATATCTATGCAATATCATGGAGCAGTAAAATCAACGACTGGTATGGAATAATTGCAAGCCCAAAACTTCTTCTATTCAGCAAAATACTTCAGCAAAACAGGATTTATATCAGCAACCTACATCTTCTCTTCTAACAAAAAAAAAAGGTTTGAGGACCACAGTATCATTTCCTCCAAGTCATGTTTGCATAAATACAGATATAGATATTATACTTTCTGAAACAAAATTCTTGTACAACAAGTTGTAACACGTCTCTATCAAAACAAAATTACATGCATTCAATATGTGTACCTATGAGAAGAAAATTGTCATTTCAATATATGTCTATCATTACCCATGCTACATTATTATTATATGCACATGTCAATTACTAATATTTATGATGTGTAATAGGTACCATTAGATGAAGCATGGAATATATTTTCATAATACACCTATTTGGAGATACAAATGCTGATAATAATTTCTACGAACCTAGTCAAACTTAAGAATGCTTGATTTAATGGAAACCTAGAATGACATTCTTTTTTGGGACGGAGGTAGTACCGCACATAATGTGCAGGTGGTACATACAAGCAAGGGATACCTACGACCCTGGGGTGGGGTGCGTGTGTGTTTGGGGGCTGTAGCAATTCATTATATGCCTTGCATAACCCAGATGACATTACCATTACAATGCATGTGAAAGGGTGCTAAATACAAGTATGTGATAGTAATAAGATGAGTGCAACCACTACACATGCAGCAACAAAGGAAAAGGAACAATAAGATGACGCCATCCTACACTGCAAGTGCTTAATGTACCTCTGGTAATTAGCTAAGGATACAATTGCCCTAGTAGCGGGTTCGAAGCAGCCTCTCCGCGGATTTGCGGGGGGAAGGCTTGCCTCGGTTTTTCCCTTCCCCAGACCCCACTCATGTGGGAGCCTCCGGCACTGGATCTGCCCTTTTTTTTAGAGCAGCAGTAGGCACTGAAAGTAAATGTTTTTTTAAATAGCATTTAAAACTGTGCCCCCACACAGTGAACCCATCTCTTAGTGCTAAGTACACCCTACTGCAGAGAGCTATTGATAAATGATGCAGGTTAATATGGTTATTAACTACAAGACTTTACAAAGCAGTTAAGAAATATTTTGCATGTGCAGTTGTGAGAACCTATGGAGCAGGTGACCTCTTCAAATAGATTAGCGAAATAAGATGATACTTTAGCAATTAGATCACATTAACACAGGCAAGGGCCAAAACAATATTGAGAAATAAAACAGTATAAGGACGTGCAAACTACCACAGAACTTCAAAAACTGCAATTCACTTACCAAATCAGCTCTCCTTTCATCAAGCGTTTTATCACTCTCCAAGATATCTGCTGGCAAACCATACAATGTTGGATTGCGGAGCATCCGAATATAGAGGTAAGTATAGCCAAGCCACGAGCATGCTTCACGAGCATTCTGAATAGTCCCCAGAACAATCTCTGCATTCAATTGATCAGCCAATTTGGATATGAACTGACTCTCAATAGGCAGCTGCTGGTTCATAAGAGACAGGTAGAACTGCAATTCACTGTGGCCAGTCAAGATTATTCCCTCTCCATGTGTATCATACTGAGGCCTTCCTGCACGACCAAGCATCTGCATAACATCCAGAGGGCTTAGTTCTGTCCAAGCACCTTTTTCTGGGTTGTAAATCTGCGTACCCTTTATGATAACAGTATGTGCAGGCAAATTGACACCCCATGCAAGGGTAGCAGTGGATACAAGTACTTGAATGTGCTTCTCAGCAAAAAGTACCTCAACAAGCTCACGGTCAACCCTTGCCATCCCAGCATGATGAATAGCAAACCCATAAGGCAAAAGGTCTTTAAGATCATTGTTTTTGACAAGTTCAGCATGAGTGCCAAGGATCTCTTGGCTTGCACTCTCGTTCTTCAGAAAGCGGCTGACTGTGTCATTTGCCAACGCCGTATCTCTGATGGCTTTGGCAGTCTTTGCCGTCTCCTTCCTTGAGTGTACAAATATAAGCACTTGATGCTTACCAGCGGCAGCCATAACCTTCTCATAACAAATCTCATTCATCAGCTGCATCCTCTGTAGTGGCTTCCTCACAGTGATCCCAATGTATTGCTGAGCAAGAGGGCAAGGTCGGTAACTGTTGTCAAAATAGAAGAGGCTTTCTTTGCGAACGCGCAAGAATAATGCAACATCTTCATAGTTTGGTAGAGTCGCAGAGAGCCCAACCAGACGGATATGCTCCTTGGTCGTCTCAATCTGCCTGACTGTCCTAGCAACAATGCTCTCCAGAACAGGCCCTCTGTTATCATGTAGCAGATGGATCTCATCAATGATTAACAGCTTCACCATTTGAGTATAGGTTCTGTCCCCTGATTTCCTGGTCACAATATCCCATTTCTCAGGTGTCGTGACAATAATCTGTGTTTCATCAATCTGTTGCTTGGTCAAGTTCTGGTCTCCACTGAGCTCCCTAACAGTAACATTGTAACCTGCCAAACGCTTCGACAAGTTTCCAACGACTTCAGCAACCAACGCTTTCATCGGGGCCACATAGACAATTTTGTACTTGGTATTATCAAACTGTCCATCATCCTGCATATGCAGACCGATCTGCTGAAGGATGGTAAGCACAGCCACGTTTGTTTTGCCAGCACCAGTCGGAGCACAGAGAAGGATATTGTCTGGTTTGAAAAGAGCAGTATCATAGACCCTGCTCTGAACTCTGTTCAGCTGGGTCATCCCATCGAAAGCTGACCGTGCAAACTCTGGCATATCAGATATCTTGACAATCTTCTCCCCTGTTTCATAAGGCTTAGCCTTCAGTGCTGGCACATGAACCTCCTCATATCCCTTATGAGGGGTTCTAAACGATCCAGTCGGCAGTTCACATTTCTTGTTAGCCATAAAGAGACCACCCTGATGGAACAAGAGGCTTTCGAGATCAAGCAGCTGTCTCTGTCCTTTCAGCCATCCACTCTCCATGTCCCACTCAGCTGCCCTGCGGTCCCAGGCACCATCAGCGCCAGCAGCAGCAGCATTGTTGAGGAGCCTCTTCGCCTCATCCCTGATGCTTTTCTCCAGGTTCTTCTGCCTCTCCTTTGCAGATGCTCTGGTTGCATGTAGCTGCTCCAATATTGGAGCCAAGCTTGGGTCACTTGCCATCTCTTCCTCTATCTTCTTCCTCTGTTCCTGATCTTCGGCCCTGGCTAAGCGGGTGCACCAAACAATCTTGAGACGGTTGTGCAGCAGCAACTTAATGAGATCAAACTTCCCATAGTCCAAGAGCATGATAAGGCGATTCTCGACGTCTCTGTCGTCAGCAATGATCTTCAAGATATCCTCGGCAAGCTTCTGGCTCTGCTGGGCATCAATGTCCCCATCCCCATATGCCTGGGATATCTTCCTCTGGAGCCAGTAAGCATCGATGTCCTGAACATTGACAGCCAGCCCCTGGTTGGCGTTCTGCATGTCATCATCGTCTAACTCACCGCCCATCTGCATACCTCCAGGACCATTCAACTCAGCCATGTCATCTTCGTCATCCTCATCCAGCTCATCTTGCACCTGGTAGGCACAAACACAAACATACGGTGGTAAGCAAGTAATGTCGGGGTCAAAGCCAAGTAGTCAGTTAAACAAATGCATAAAGGTGTACCTGATCAAAATCACTCTCCTCGTCGTCATCTTCAAACTCGACAGCAACACCGACATCATCATCCAGGGTGGTGCCCATGCCGTCGGCAGAAGGCGCACCGGCAGCATCACCGGCCACCGCATCATGAAAGTCGGTGATGAGCTTGCCGATGGAGACAAGCTGGTCAAAGAGCTGGCTGGAGATAGGGTTGAGCAGTTGCTCAATGTCCTTCTTCTTATCAGGGTTCTTGACCTTGTCATTCTTGAGCGTGGCGAGCACCTTGTCAGCAGCCCCGGCGAGGACGTCAAGGGGCTGGCCGCCGAGCTGCTGCTGGATGAGACTCAGCAAGGCCTCGTAGGCGGCGCGCGTCTCCTTGGTCTGGGGCTTGTAGACGGCGTCGTCGGTGAGGGAGAGGACGGAGACCTCCTGGGCGGAAGCGGCGCGGCGCCTGCGCTTGGCGTCGCGACGGGGGAGGTCGGGGTCGACCGCGGCGGCAGCGTCGCGCTTAGACTTCTTGGTGCGCGACTTGGAGAGCTTCTCCTCGAGCTCGGGCGGCTTGTTCTGGACGGCGCGGTCGCCGAAGGACCTGGAGTCGATCCTGCCCCAGAGCGTCTCGGGCTCGCCGGTGGGCTCGTGGGTGTCCCGCGGGCGGGAGTCGGTGGTGAGGACGAGGCTGGAGTTGGCGCCGTACTCGTACTGCTTGAAGCGCGCGTGCGCCTCGGCGCCGCCGCCGAGGTTGGACATTGCAGCTGCGGCGGAGGAAGGTGGGTCGGAATCAGCAGGACAAATTATCGAATCTGAAAACCCTAACCATCTATTCTGGAGAGCCAAGGCAACGCAGCGCAATAGGGGTGGAAATCGAAGCAGAAGAGGAGCGGCAGTGTGGGGAGAGAGCAGAGACTCAGACAGGTATACCTTTGGTCGTGCGGCAGAAGGGTCCTCCTCGCGCTCTCCCGGCGGCGGCGGAGGACTGTCGCGGCGGAGTGAGTGGGGTTAGGGCCTAGGGGTTTACCTTCCGGCCTGAATCTGATTTGATTCGATCTGATGGATGGAAAACGAAAGCGCGAGAGCTTCGCGGCAGAGAGCTGACGAGATAGGGGTTTTTTTTTTTTGAGCTGACGAGATAGGTTGTAGACCGACGAACCGACTTGGGCTCAACCGACTTTTGGTTATTCGGCTGGCCCAATACAAGTTGGCCCATTAAATATTGCTCTAACAATGATGATGGGAGATCCAGGCCCAGACTTGAGCCCGAATCTTAGAAATGCTGCCAATTTCATTAATTTCGTAGATTTTTCCTCAAAAAATCGTAGAGAAGAGAGATTTAAAATCTGTGTAACCAGGATTACAAAGGCCAACTCTTGCACTCATAGATACGCTTCCTCCTTGATCTTTGCGAGCATCAGGGCCTTATGATAGTAGGCGCAACCATTATCAATGGTTATGCTGACAGATGTGTGAATGTGCGCAAACAGCCTTATGACAGTAGGCGTGACCATTCCATTTTTCAGGATTCTTGATTTTTTTCATTAGAAATGATTGGAATTGTCAATTGTAGTTCCAAATACAATAGACTTAAACGAGCAACCCAGATAGTATGGTTTTGATTCAACCCAATTCTAGAAAACAAGATGTTTTTTTATTCAGCCCAATTACGCAAGGGGGACCCTTCCTTAGATCATCGCCCTCCTAAACTTAAACAGGAGGTGGAGGAGGACTCATAGCAGCGGAGTGAGAGGGGTTAGGGGTTTGTCTTCCTCTACCTGGATTTGATTTTATTTGATATGATGGATGAAAAGCAGAGTGGGAGAGCTAAGCCCTAACAATCTAGCAGAGAGCAGATGATGCCTGCTGAGAATCAGGTGAAAATGGTTTTAGACCCAACGGTGATAAACTTTGTGCAGTAGTGTGGGTCACACCCTTACAAAAAGTTCACATGTTTCTAGGTTCTAGGGTGGAAAAGGGCTAGTAGAGTGAGCACATCTCCTAGTAAGAATGTGGCCATTTTTTCTTGTCCATCACATTATGTATGGGTTGAACCTCTTAGTTGCGTCAAGAACATTCTTAGGCAATGGCATGCTAACAACGCATTCTATAGGAAATTAGTGCAATATGTCAAGAGTAGACAATGGTATTGATGGCCAAATAGGCCTTACCTATAATGGGCTGACATGAGGGGTGACAACTTCGACATGACACGATAGCCATGTCTAGGACACTCCCCTAGATCGTAGTGCAAGGACGAGCACAACATTATAACATGTCATCTTGTTAATAAGGGCCCAACCTCTCATCTACATCCCTTGTGTGGCCATACCCGCACGTTGGTACGTTGTTGTTTCCGTCCTCCTAACCTCCCTTATCCCTCTGTCTCCACCGAAGCCACTCCTCTCTACAGTTCTATATCGCTGGAAAGTTGCACAACGTACCACCACTCGCTCTCTAATTTCTCTCCGCGTGACTCCTCCGAACCTCCTCGTGCTCGCCCTAATCGATCCCATGATGGACATGCAATGACTTCTCATGCTCGATGTGTTATATGTGCCAACAACGAATTCGTCCTCTACGGACCAAGATCTAGTGTTTGGCGAGATGAAGGGTCTGTTTGGTACGTAGTCATAACTTGCCACACCTAAAGTCTGGTGCGTTGACTCGATTGGGCTGGCGTTTGGTTCATAACCATAGCTTTGGCATGCCACAATTGCTCAAGCTTGTTTGTAGTCTCTTGCATCAGATTTTCACACCAAAAGTCTTGCGAACTATTTTGTCGCCGAACCTCCAGCGCGGCCATAACTGTGGCAGGCTGAGGTAACCAGCCAAACAGGGCCGAGGTCTCTGGTCCCCCACCCCACTACAACAAAATTCATGAAACATGGAGGATGATTGTGAATGGTTTGTGGCTATGAATGTTTAGTACGTTGTAAGTGTGATTTGGGAATTGTGAACTTTAAGATCTATCGACCTATGGACGCACTTGTGATTTTATCAATGATTTATGTGGCTGATTAGGCTTGCTATAGGCGTGTCGGACAATTGTGCTCGCATGGCCATGGTTAAGGTTGCCACGTGCAGTACCTAGGTCTTGACGAGTTGACGGGCAGCATGGCACGACACGGTTACCTAATCACGTCGTGACTGAAGGAAGGAGTTCATAAAAGCAAGGACGGTGAGGAGTGACAGAGAAGTGCACCCAGATAGTCAGATGGAGGAAAATATATGGATGCACGAAAAAAAAAATACCGTACTTTAATAATATTGTAAAGAAGATCAAAGATGCCATATTTTAAGAGGAGAAGCAGGGGTGAATCCGGCGCTTATTACATATATACTACTACCTCACACTAAAATAAACTTAGCCGAGAAACCAACCTAACGAACGCAACAACAGGAATACATGATAACGAACACACAGAGAGTACACAGTTCATGCAGCCAATCACCCTCATCCGCACTCCATTGCTAGCTATATATAGCTAGCTAGTTGTAAATGGAGCACTTCTTCCTGATCTCGGCGTCCGCACCGGGGCTGGTCTTGACCTCGATGCTGCCCATCTTCACCATCGCTGCCGCGAACTTGGTCTCCCACAGGTTCCCCGAAGAACCGGCCACGTAGGTATCCACCAGCGGCTTCGTTGCCGGCGAGCTCAGCGCAGCGTCCGAGTCCAACACCACGTCATCGTCGTTCACGTTCTGGTAGTACTGCACGTCCATGGTGTCAGGGGTCTTGTAGTCCAGCGCCACCTTCGTGTTGCCGCCGCTCCTGCACTTGTCCCTGAGATCCTTGGCGAGGGTGGCGTTCATGTCCGTGCGGTTGGAGACGAACGCGCAGCGGGCCTGGCCGATGGTGTGCGCCCCGGAGAGGGTGACCATGTCGTCGGTGTCGAGGCCCTTGGCTGCGAAGAAGTTGTTGAGCGCGTCGAGGTCGCAGAACGGGCCGGGCAGGTTGTCCGTGGTCTCGTTGGCGAGCGAAACGCGCCCGTCGTAGCGGCCGGCGGGCATCGCGAAGGAGCTGATCCTGCCGCCGCTGAGCACGCTGGACGCGTCGCGGGCGGCAAACGCGAGGGTGTCGGCGCACGAGACGACGCCGGGGCAGGCCGCCTCCAGCGCCGCCTTGGCCGCGTCGATCACCTCGAACCCGCGGAGGCTGTTTATGTTGGGCAGGCCGAACATCTCCGTCTGCTCGCTGGAGCCGCTAGTGTTCCTGAGGAGGACGGAGGCGTCGCACCCCCGGACGAAGCAGTCGTGGAAGAAGAGGCGGATGAGGCCCGCGCCCGTGCCGGGGTCTTTGCTCACGGCGTCCTCCACGACCTTCCTCACGATGTCTTCCGCGTTGGGGCACGCGTTGCTGTTGCTGCTGTTGTAGTAGCCGACCTTGAGCACTGACGCTGAGGGGGCAGGGCCCTTCTTCAGGGGGTAAGAGGTCAGGTTTCTGGGGCAGATCAGGCCGCCGCCCAGGAGCGATGGGACTGGGCGAACCCACCCGCCCAGGCAAATGATGCTGGCGCCATGGCAAGCCACTGGCCCGAGCAACGCAAGCAAGGCGACGAGGGCGGCAAGCTTGGCATCCATCTTCTTTGCAAGCTCTCGATCGATCGGCTAGCTAGCTGTTGCGTTGGTTTCTTGTCTTGCACCAGATTGTGTGTGCTTTTCTCCATGGGCAATGCGTGTAATTTATAGCTAGCTCCTGCTGGGCGAGGAGAGCGTGGCACTGTCCACTGTCCACACGGTTCGCGGCGGTGCACGTCGTACGTTGGCGACGACGACGACGGATGCGAATTTCACCGAAGGCAGCGCGCGGATGCAGCAGGGACCGCAGCTGACCACCTGATCTATTTTGACCGTCTGATTTTGACTCCGGAGGTGGTTGTGATTTGGGTGTGAAAACACTAGACCCTGGTGCGTCTGCTCTAATAACCCCTTATTTCTAGCAAGTTGGGTTTGCATATTGTATTGTACTGTTACCTGTTAGATTAGAGGTGCATTTTATGAACTCCTCCACAAATCCAAAAAAATTATGGTCCTATGCGAGCAGTCATCACCTGCAAAAGTTTATAATCATACTTTTTGCACAATTTTATTTGACTGGTGAACCTTTAGGTTCTATCAGTATGAATTTTCTAAATAATATTTTCCAATGCACAAATATGTTGTGCCCGTACTATTAAATTATTTTTACCCGTGTCCGTATGGTCCATGTAAATTAACAAAATTGATTATCATATAAGAGGCATATATTTATACGTGATAATTGCTTGTAAAGTAAATAAATTATCAACAATTGTGGATGGAAAAATGCCATGTACACTCATTTTGGGACACACATAATTGAATACTTACGCGTGTGTGTGACTTAGGGTCTATTTGGATTCTTTGTCTAAAGTTGAGGAGTAAAACTTTAAACCACTATAACTCACTTTTGTGGTCTAAAATTTTTATGAGATTAGATAAATATTTAGACAACACTTTAGACCTCCTGTTTGGAGCCCTAGAGCTAAAATAGTCTAAACTTAAGCCGCTAAATTTTAGACCATGGGACCAAACAAGACCTATACACCAAACTTTAGATTAGTTTAGCCACTAAACTTTAGACCACTTTAGCTCTTAAGGCTCAAAACAAGAGGTTTTAAAGTGTTGTCTAAAATTTTAACAATTTCACAAAAACTTTATACCACACAAACGAGCTAAATGGATCTAAAGTTTTATCCCTTAACTTTATAATCAACTAAATTTTAAACCTGAGAATCCAAACAGACCATTCAAACAACAAGTACTGAAAGTCGTAGTCATGCCGTGTGTCAGAATATTGTGGACTGTTAAACGGTAAGGTTAATAATGCATGCACAGCAGAGGGCGAATAATCAGTTATAAGTATGAAACCACATGACCTATCCTGTTATAGCTTTATGACCTTTATTTAGTGCACTGCCACATCGTACCAAATATTTAATCTTACGTACAAATAGCAGTTGATGCATGCGTATATATGTCTACGTGCAATGCACAGTAGTTTGAGCATTGCGTGCGTGTTTCACGAGTATATATGATGATGGGTCTTTTTTGAGGGCTTTGGCTTCTCAACGCACCATTAACATTAGAGTCAACTTTTATTTAAAAAAATAGTAGAGTCAACTTGCTAACTCATATTATCTTAAAAATAAAATAAAATAAAATAGAGTAACCAAAAGACCAGTTTGGTAAAACTTGTCTTCCTCTTCTTTCAAAAAAACTTGCCTTCCTAGTTTTCGAGCTTCACTTCTTGATTCTCCAATTGATTCTGGTGGTAAGCAGGGTGGTGAGCAGGTGAGAATCAATTCTGAAGTGATATATTCTAGTGGTGATTGAACGGAGAGCAATGGCAAGTGGTGGACAGTGGGGTTTTTTTAGCTCTTGGCTCGTAGTGTAAATGAAGAAGTGATTCTCGTCAACTCCACACCAGAATCCAGTTGCATTTTAAGCATTTGGTAGGGATGTGTAGAATCCACTCTGAAGATACTAGGAGAGCTTTGCGCCTCTGCCGAACTGGCCTAACATGTTAGTATAGAAAAAATATGTAAGCATAGACACATGAATCATAAAAAATGTGTGAGCTTAGCTCTTCACGAAGAGCTAGCTTATCATTCTCACTCCATACTCAATAAAACATTCTATGAGATAGCCGTTTTAACATTGTTGGAGATGCCCTCAGATTCACATGCCATCCTATTTAGATTTATTGTAGCACAGAGCCGATGCCAACAGCTTAGAACACCTGAAGCCGGTGAAGCCCACTTCTGACTTCACCGTCCCTTGGAAGTCATTGCAATCACTACTGGAAACTCGAATTGCCCTGTGGGTGACGAATTTTTCTGTGCGTTTTTTTTCTGTACGCATAGAAAAATTACGATTATTCTGTCGGTTCCAAAATATCCTGACAGAAAATACGAAAACCCACAGAATAATTGTATGATTTTTCTGTGCGTGACAATACACACGGAAAAATCAGTACTCACAGAAAAATGCAATTTATTCTATCGGTTCTTTAAAAACGCACAGAAAAAATATACGCACGCATAGGATAAATAAAAAAACAAAGAAGTCCTAACCCTAACCCGCCGGCCGTCGCCCCCAAACACCCTCGCACGCACGCACTCGCGGACTCGCCTGCTCGGCCTGCTCGCGGACTCGTCTCCTCACGCACGCTTGGCGTCCCTCCTCCCCTTCTTCATTTGGCCCCAGGCGCCGTCCTCCCCTTGGCGCCCGCCCTCCCCTTCTTCTTCTCCCGTGGCGACCGCCTCCCCTCCCCTTCTTCACCCACCGGATCCGGCCCTCCTCTCCGGATCCGCCGGTGGGCTGGTGGCCGTGCGGTGGGGTGTGGTGGCGGCCGGCCCCCCCCCCTTCTTCTCCCCCCGGGCGCCCTCCCTCCCCTTCTTCTTCCCAGTGGGCGCCCCTCCCTCCCCTTCTTCACCCCGCCGGATCCGCCCTCCCTCTCCGGATCCGACCGGTGGTGCGTGGTGGTGGTGGTGGTGGTGGTGGTGGTGGTGGTGGCAAACCTCCCTCCCTTCTTCTCCCCAGGCGCCCCTCCCTCCCCTTCTTCTTCCCCGTAGGCGCCCTCCCTCCCCTTCTTCTTCCCGTGGTGCCCCTCCCTCCCCTTCTACACTCGTGGGATCCGCCCTCCCTCTCCGGATCCGGCCGGTGGCTACGGTGGTGGCTGGTGGCGGGGCGTGGTGGTGGTTGTTGGTTGTTGTATTTTTTATGTGCAATCTGTGATGCAAATTCCCATTTCTGAATCATTGTGATTATTGCAACAAAAATCACCATCTTTAAAATTTGAGATTGCACCGCATAAATTTAGTTTTATTGCATTGAGTATGTTTTCTAGTGTAATTTGTTGTAGTCAATGCCATTTGGTATCGACTTGCGGTCATTCTTTGTGATTGTGTCTCGAAACATGGCGAGAATACAAGGGGAGCGGATCTTGCGATAATTGGTTGCTTATTTATGAGTTTCCAGTTACTATATGCCCGTTTACATGTTACGATTGTTCTAATGATCATGACTGAAAAAACTGATTGTATTTTCTTTCTTTTTGGTGAAAGGGATGGAAAAAAGGCAAAGCATGGAGAAACAAAGCGAGTGCCTTGGCTTTTGTTTTCTTTGGGCATGTTTGTGGTGATAAATATATAACTATAGGCAAGCCATAGTTTTCTTAGCAAGGGCACGCATACAGTTTCTTGCTTGGATGAATGCTTACGCTACACTTTTGCCACACGGACTAAAAAGAATTGCATGGTAGGAGTATAGAACAAATTTTTGCTTTACCTTGTTGTTATGCATGGTTATATGGTTTGACAAAGAGGGGTGCCAATCTGTGATAGGAATCAAGCATGCCTTTTGTCTATATGCTCATTTATTCTCCGGCATGGAGCTAATATGCCTCGAAAAGCAATTGTACAAGGAGGTGGGGCCGTGGGGGTGTGTAGGCTGCTTGTTGATCATAGGTGGTCATGATTGAAAGTAACAAAAGGGAAAAGAAATGCTTTGTCAAAGGGTGTAGGGAAGGAGAAAAGATACTTATGACCACAAACTAATGGCTATTGTTAAGCAAAGTACCCTTTCTTTAGGGTTTGGTCTTGATCTTTTCCATTCGGGATCGACACGTTTCTTGCTCGTTTGAATTGTAGTGGCGTGGTGGAGCACATTACACTTGTGACCCCTTTGCATCCCCCACCAAGGCCTCCATTGATACTATTACTACTCAAGAATCGCTTTCGAGAATGGTAGCATCGACAATGTGAGCCCTCATCATGTGGCTCTCTGTTAGCTAATCATCGCCACCTTGTGTGAACACTGCCCGAGATGAAGGCGGGCGCCGACTTAGTCACTTTCATTGTGTTAAGGCGGCGCCGACTTTGCCCCCTATTTGTGATCTGATGAGTCATTTGTAGGTGCAAAGCGCCGCATGGCTCACACGCAAAGATCTTTGTAGAGAGCAGAGGCGTTGGCCGACGCAGAGTCACCCTACAAAGTTATCTAGTTATTGTGCCAAAGGCATGGCGCGCACATGGACTAGATAGTTAGAGTTGTATAAATAGACATGTATGACAACTCAGTAAAGAGAGCTCAGATTTGCCATCACACAGACAGGGCCTCGGCTAACGTTGTTGTCTTGTATTGTGCGTGCTTGCTCTGTTCTCCCTTCTTCTTCTAGCTCGATCCATAGTGTGTGGGTACGGACACAACCGGTATAGTGGTCTGGGAAGACTAGTGGTGCAGTGCGGGAGACGGGAAGACTAGTGGTCAGTGCGGAAGACTAGTGGTGCGGGAGACTAGTGGTGCAGTGCTCGAAAGACTAGTGGTGCAGTGCGGGAGACTAGTGGTCTGGGAGACTAGTAGTCTGAGACTAGTGGTCTGGAGACTAGTTCACTATCGCCAGACGGTGATCTCGTGGGCCAACAAGTGGTATCAGAGCCGTACAAGCGCCGTCGTCATTCTAACCAATGGCGAGGACAGGCGGTTTGGAGTTGGACGATGGCAGTGGCACTGTCATAGCTGCCTAGCCACTACCGGAGGTAGTTGTCCGCACGGTGCGG